TTTTTTTTCTGTGCCCTCCCTTTCATTTTATTCTGTTTAAATTTTCTTTCCCTGTTATCTGGCCGCGCGGGGGGGAAAGGGGATGGGGTGGTACTGGTGTCATCGGCTTTGCATGCGCGGGGTGTGGTGGGGGAGGAGGGTTTGCGTAGTGAACTGCTACTTCATCCACTTTGCGACAGCAAACAGAAATCTGCCTCTATTTGCGTTACGTTTGATGGGCGTGACGTAATCACGTTGTGTGATCGATAGTGATGACCGGGGCCGACCGGGGCTCAACAGGTCGCGGCGCCAACCTCGTTACCCCTCATTATATCGGTACACGCCCCAATCACGCGCACTTATGTGTCCGAGTTCGACAGACTAACTTTTCTTTTCATTTTCGTCTCTTGGAGCGGAACGCGTCGGGGGCGATGGGCCGTGGAGCAGACGGGCTATGGGGCGGGGCGGGAGGGCCTTTGGGGTAGGCTCCGTTTGGTCCCTCGATAGGGGGTGGAAAGAAGGGGAGAAAGGGGTCATAGAGAGTGTTAACTTTTTGGTAATTCGATTTCAGAGAACAGTGAGAGAGGGTCAGGAGGGAGGGAGGGGTGGAGAGAAGCATCCTGACCTAGCCAATATTATCGATACCCTTCTCTCTGACTCCACCTTTCTCGGTCTTGTTCGCTGTGTGACGGTTCAAAGATACCCCACTGAATCATCCTTATTTATTTCCATTTCTCTGTTCGCAGGTGAACGGCACGTGGAGTCTTCCAGGGTTCGTGTGCGACTTTTACATCGCCATGGACGTGACGTGCAGCACGTCTTCCATCTTCAACCTGGTCGCCATTAGTATAGACAGGTGAGTCTTATTATAGCCGACAGTTTGTTGTGCATATAGGCGGGCCGTATTAGTTCGCCTCGAGCTGCAATTAGCCCACTGCGTGCGCGGCCGCCAGCAAGTGGAAGCTTTGCGGGGAGTTTGGGGGCCGGATTACCCTGATCCCGGACATTAGCAGTGGGACGGGACACGCGAGCGACCGCCAGACATTGACAGATGTGCGGCAAAGTCCCTGCTGTTCGGCCGGGCGGCGCGGCGGGCTCGGGCGCGACGCCCTGAAGCCAAAGCAGGCCCCCAGGGTGAACCGCGCTATACGGCCCCAGGGCCGCCCTCCTGCCCCCCAGCCGTGCAGGGCCGTGACCAGCCGAACACCCGGCCAGACCGAAACGCCGCGCCGCGCCTGGCTGCCGCAGCCCCCTGCGCAGCCCGCAATCCCCTTCGCTCAGCCAAAGCTATCGAAAGCCCTGTTTCCAAAGGAGCGACGCCTGGGGAGGGAGAAGGGTTTCCGCGAGGGATGTTTTAAGTTTGTGGGTACGCCT